ATCTTCACTCGGCCACTCTCAAGGTCCAAAAAGACCTAAACTCCATCAACGAATGGGCCCATAAAAATTCCTTAGTCCACAATCCGTCCAAATCCACCGCCATAATTATCGGGTCCAGGCAACTCCTCAATTCCCTCCCCAGCATCCCACCTATCATGCTAAATAACCATCCCATCCCCTTCTGCTCTTCGGTTAAAAACCTAGGAGTAGTTTTTGACCAAAACCTTTCCTGGCATTCTCACATTTCCCAAATTTCCCGCCATTCCATTGCCTCTCTCAGCCTGTTTTGTCGGTCCTGGCTTCTCTTACCTTTCTCCACCCGCAAACTCCTTGTATCTTCCCTTATACTTCCCTTCTTCGATTATAGCTGTTTGGCATACGGTGGTCACTCGGAGGGGGAGAACGCGCGATTGAAGCGTATTATGAATTGTTGCGTAAGATTTGTGTACGGCACCCCATGGGGATTCCGGGTGTCGGGGTTGTATTCCCAACTTTCTTGGCTATTCCCCTCCTTCCGTGCACAGTATTTCTTAAGTTGCTTTCTTTTCCTGTCCATCCACACTCATCGTCCTCCTTACATCATCCAATCCCTCCAATTCAACTCCTCACATCTCACTCGTAAGACCCGCTCATCCCCAATCGATCTTATCCTTCCGCAACATACAATCCATACCTTCGAAAGATCCTTTCTGATCCGAGCCCCTAAACTCTGGAACTCCCTTCCCCTTTCTATTCGTCAAGCTGCCTCCTTTTCCTCCTTTAAATCCCACCTGTATAATCATCTCCTCTCCTTCCAAGCAGAGAACTAACGTTAACATTTGTTATTTTTGTTTAATATTCTCGTAATTTTTTCTTCTGTCCTGCCTTATTGGTATACTTTTAACTTCATAGAAGGAACTTCCTTTATTTAGTTCATGTAAATTATTCTTATGGGACACCAGTCCCAGAATAAAGTTATTTTTCTTCTTCTTATGTATGTTATCTATTGTTCTCTCTCTCTCTCTCTCTCTCTCTCTCTCTCTCTCTCTCTCTCTCACCCCCTCTCTCTCTATCTATCTATCTAACTTTCTATCCCTCCTTCCATCCATCCATCCATCTATCTATCTATCTATGTACCTATCTCTATCTCTATCTCTATCTATATCTCTATCCCCTCTCTAAACTAAAGAAAGTTTACTTTAACATATGAAATTTGGTAAGGTTACACACATAAAAAATGAACCTGGTATAAAATATTTTTGATGGAATTCAATCACATTTAATAATTTTTTAATCCATAATTAAAATTTTAATCTCTTTCACTGTCGCCTTTTTTCTCTACTTGTTTGTTTAACTTACGCACGCAGTTCCAATTATGTAGGTGCTTTATTTTATATTCAGTCTGAAATTCGACAAGTGAATAGTATGCAATTGGTGTGAATTGATTTTCAGAGTTTGCACTTGCATGTATGCAAATTGGGACTACAAATGAGGCTAATCGTCATTTCAGGCAAACGGTTCCTGGAAATGAAGTCATGACAGTAAAAATAGTGTTTGGTTCGAGACGTAGTGAAATTGTGGAAACACGCAAAGCATGAGTGTTTCGCGTGTCTCTCATTCGCCGTCGCGGAAGGGGTTTAACAACATGGGGATCAGGGTAGTTCGATGGGAAAACGGCCATTTAATTGCGATCCTATCGTTGCATTCGAATTGCATCGTGGAAAGTTTTTATGCACATTTTTCACCCACATTGAAAACAGGGTCAAGGTTTGACCTTAAAATTGACGATTATTTTCATTTTAGCATCACCATATCTTGGGAATGATCTCTCACAGCATAGCTTTCTAACCTCTTACATTTTGTTTAGTTTAATTTATGAAAACAAAACAAAAAAATAACAACATAGAAGAATGTGAAATTAAGGAAACCAAATGTTGAGATAGAAATACGTTTGCGGCTAGATAAATTATTGTATGCTGTAAATAAATATATTAATTTTATTCGGATATAAATGATGATAAGGTTGACAAGGTATCGAGATTAGGCTAGAAAGGGTAGGAAAATTAAAGACACATGGAGATTAGGGAATGATCCCAAACGACAATGACCAATTGAAAATTAATTGTTAATTTTATTTAAAACATATAAACATATTCGGGATAAACAAACGATACTGATATTTTTTAAATCCTTCCCTTCACTGATTACCTCGTAATATCCTACTTTTCCAATATGTATTTCAAGTAGAATCGGAACGTCTTTCTATTCCATCCTCTCCACCGGACGGGTGTTCCCCAAGGCCTTATCCTTGGCCCCATGCTTTCAGTTCTATCGACAGGCATTCCTATCGATCCTGATGTAGTATTCCTTCCAGCAAGCCCACACTTCAGACCCAGGGGGCTTCAAAAACTTCATCTGGAAAAATGGTTGAAGACATGGAGGATCAACAAAACCAAATCCAAGCAAATAACTTCCAACCATCGCCGTATCATCTCTCTTCTAATCTGTTACAATACTATCGATTTCCCAGCTACCAATGATGTCCCCTATTTGAAACTTTTGGTCGGCAAAAGACTTAGAACAAACCCTCTACTTGATTCAAACTAGTTTAACAGAACAACGAGTAATCTGCTCAAAACACTACAGTTATGATAACTAATGTGGTATTGAAATCTCCAAAGAATCCAGTCAACTAGTCCAAAACCAATCGAACCATTGCCCTAGCTTCATATTTCATATCCAACCTAACTACCCACACAAATAAAGTGAAAAATGTTGAACCCTTTCCGACAATCTCTAACTGATGTATTCAAGTACCACCCACATGTTGAAGAGCAGATCCAACAGCAACTATCAGTGAAGCAAGCCATTAGTAAATCGGCAGTCAAACGGTATCGTTGTCGCGTCGCCACCGCTTTTCCCTACGAGAATTATTAGTTAGTAGAGTTCCTCACTGAAGATGGCACAATTCCAAAACGCGTTTGTGAAACATCAAAACCTTCAAACGGACCCAGTGCTGGTTCAGCAATGACGTCTTTAGACGAAAGGAATTAGATGGTGGACATTACATAGGATTTGGCTAAATGAGTTACAAGTGGAATATATAAGTCGGTATGGATGGTGTGGTTGAAAACATAAAGTTGTGGGAGAACTTAACTAATTGAAGACATCTGTGTCTAAGCTTCAATATTGTTCTACGGACTTTAAATTGAAGGGCCTTAATCTAGCTAAAGAGATGTGTGGTGATTAGTGACCGTTAATCGATAATTATTCAGAAATCGTGAGATGCGGTCTGGTGTGATTTAGGTTTCAGAAAAACATTTTCTTTATCGTGCCAACGTTTCGATCTTTATTGAGATCATCTTCAGGGCATGGGATTTACAAACATTGTTTAAATNTGTTTATATTATATAAAAGTTTATTTAAACATAAAACAGCAAAATCTCACTGGCACTCTCAACACGACACGCAAGAATGGCACAATTACACAGAAGACAAACCCTTTGAGTGAGTAGAAATACTTTGATTGAATATAAAAAATATATATTGCATCGTATAAATTCACTTTTCCACATCCTAAATGTATTTGTTAAATGTGAACATGTAAATCCCAGGCCCTGAAGATGATCTCAATAAAGGTCGAAACGTTGGCACGATAAAGAAAATGTTTTCTGAAGCCAACAACACACCAGACCTCATCTCACGATTTCTGAATAACTAGTTAAAGAGGTCGAGTCCGTAAGTAAAATAAGGAGCCAACAGGGCTATATTAAGTCCTCTTTTGGGGAAAAATTATAGAAATTTTGTTATATTTTTTGCATAATAGTGAATGTGTTTATAGAAAAATTAACATAATTTTAGTTTATTATGAAAATGTTTTCACGTTTTCTATATTAAACTCGCAAAAAAATTTTTTTGAACGTGCAGTGTTGAATATTTTATGTTGTAAAATAATAATGTTTTGATAAAATGTTGTCGAGAATTTATCGACTTGGTAATGTAAGATAAAGGAAGAACATAAGTCAGAAGTTTCACTTTATTCATAGAACTTTATGAACTTGAGATTAACTAGATAGCCAACATGCTGCAAAATAGCACCTTCCAACTTCACAAATGCTTTATTCCAATTAAATCTAAAACATACACCACTCTTTACCTGATAGTTTAGCCTGGTTATATTTACCTAAAAAAACTATTTTCTCATTGAAAAATTGGAATAAAAATTTTGTTAAATAATTACGATAATTTTGGTTGGTTCTTGGATTTATGGCGCGACAGCACAAGGCAGAAGCATTTTAGTTGAAAGGAAAAACTTATCGTTACTTACTTACCTTTTTAATTTCAGTTTATTTTTTATCGACTATTGCAATTCATAATCTTTAAAATTCACCGTTCATAACGATATAATTTTTTTATATATTTTTAAAGATATGACTATTACCGTTTATTCCTATTATCCCTTTTCATCGCCTGAAAAAGTTGAAAAACAATCAATTATTTATTTATTTTGTTATTGAGGATAAAATATCATTAAAAGGGAAATATTTATTAGAGAATTATTCACTATTTCAAAAAATTAACATATCTGTCAATAGTCAATTGCTTTAGCCAGAATGTAAAATTATTATTATTAATTTTCGTATTATTTAAACGAAAAATTAATAAAATAATGAAAATTTAAATTAAGCTTGATATGAGAATTGCCAAGAAAGAGAGATCCATGCCCGTCCAGCCATCTGTGATTGCTCCAGAGAAACTTCCAGATGGTAACGTAGACTTTAGTAAGGCACTAAGTAGTTAATGAAAGTACGTAGTTTCATGATGTTTTATGTTGAAAAGATCTACAGTTTTAGCAAATTTATTAGATAATTAACAACTTTGTTTATAATAATATTTCATTTATTCATTATTGATGTTTGAAAATAAAGCAATGTATATAGCAGAATAATGTTTGTAAAAAATAATGATAACATAGAACAAACCACCTCGATAAGTTGAATACAGTGAACACGTCCAGTGCTGCTGTCCTGCAGGAAGGCCAAACAGTCCCAAGCTTCCAACCACTCGGACGTTGCAGGTCAAAAATCGTCGCAATTTTCCAGCCTTTTTTGCCTTGTATGTGCCGTTCCAGTTTCAGGTCGAAAAGCGCACTTCTTTCCAGTTTCCAGTGTAGCCTTAGTCTTCGCCCTGTAGAGTTCTTTTTCTAGGCACAAAGCGCCAAAACCTCTTGGAATAAAAAGTTTCACACATTGAAGAAAAGTAAGTTTGCCTTTATAATATATCTTGAAATAATGTTTCTAATATTATTTTCTTTCGATTGAAAACAAATCAAAATTTTTAATTGTAATGTCTTGCTTCACCGCGTTATTTTCATTTGTATTTATTTTTAGCGTTAGCCGTCAGCACTCTCGGCTTCTTAGACAATCAGAAAAAGAGTGGATTTTTATAGTTATTTTTTTACGAGGGTATTTCATGTACGAGGCTATAAGAATAACCGGTGTTTTTGAAAAAGGCCCATTGGTAAGCATTGGGTTCGAGTTCAGGGCCGATGGATTCGAACCAGGGACCTTTGCCTTATAATGAGCGCCGTGTCACCGCCTAAACCACCACTCCCCAATGTCTTGATGGTTAGTATTGTACAATAACAAGTTTTTATTTATTTTATTACGAAAAAGATTGTTTCTAAATTCATCTCGTTTTTTAGCACTCAGCACCAGCACGAAGCCTCTTCAGAAAAAAGGAGGCAAGTTTGCCCAAGTTGAGCGGAGCGGAATTGGAAATTTTTGAACAGTAACATTTAGGACAAAAGAATTACATTGATTCGCTTGTGGATATGAAGCCAAAAGTTGCTAGACGTGTCCCTCATAATAGATGGTTGTCATGCCTATGGCTCCATATAGAAAGCGTGTAGGCATGAGATTGGTTCTCGAGCATCGTAGCGGATTTCTCGATCCACGTTCCGGTTTTCAGAGGAAGTGTATAATTTTTTTTTTTTTTTTTTTTAAGTGGCATCCGACTTGGTCATTTCAGTCGCGAGCGCACCTCCTATATACATTACATTCATTCGATGGGGTACTTTTATAAATATTCCGCCTTAGACTTAAGTCACGCGAGGGGCGATAGGGATGCTATTCCACCATCAGCCCCTCCCCATTCACTCTAATAAAAACACTCACCCATACAAAACTCAGAAACACAAAACACATATCTTGACGGATATTTACAATAAAAAATTCCCAATTCTCTTGAAAAGCGGAACTGAGGACCCTGAAATTCGCTACCGTGTTCGAGAACCATTCTTAATCCGGCGACATGCTTACATGCTCTCTGTCTGGAGCCAAGGCATGACACGCCTTTATTATGTGGGACACCTTTCTCTGCATAAGGGGCAGCTGAGCGGGCTTAGGCTCAAAAGCAGGTGCCCGTGTGTTAACCGAGTATGGCCAATCCTCAATCGGGTGAGGACGATCCCTCGTCTCCCGCTGAGGTTTGCTGAGGGCCATCTACCGGTCGTGCTCTTGACCGTGCTTCGTAGTCTACGTTCTTAGACCGGTTTTTAGAGGAAGTGTATATGTTTTATTTTATATAGTTCGTTCTTGTTTCGTGGTTCTGTTTTTTTTTCTTCTTTGTTTAAGTACACCATTTACCCTGACTTAGGATTAACTTATTACTAGTGTGTATAGTTCGTTGGAGGAATATCTAGTATCGAGTACTCTTCCAAAAACCAGCATGAGTGCAATGTACATAGGTGTGAATGTATTTATTTGTGCGATTGTACTCTGTGTTGGTTTGGCTCAAAATGAGTCCTAGTAACCCAGCCGCATAACGTGGTAGACGAACCCCCGTGAGCTATGACCCCAATGGTACGCACCTCAAGGTGTGATAAGAAAATAAAAATAAATAAGAAATTGTTTCGATACCTGAAGGAGATAAACATATAGGGAGTCCTTTCATACGTAGGTTGAAATAAATCCTTAATTTGACTGAACTATTTATTAGCGTAAACTTTATGTTATGCTTGGTTGTGTTTGTGTTGTAATATCGAGTAGCCAAAAACATACTGAATAAGTCTAGGTTATTTAGTTTTAGTGTTATGAATTAACAGTTTGATAGGAGGATATCCACTAGCGTTATATAAAGCCCTGGTGTCTACACAATTGTGTGATTGTATTTATTTGCGTGAATGGACACGGTCTGTGTGGAACATCGAGTACACATAGAACTGGTGACTACCTTAGGAGAATAAATGCATGATTTTTTCTTGTATGAATAAACAAAACATAGTGGTCCTAGATGCTAGCCAGCCGAAAAAAAATCATTACACTGTAAAGTACTTCATGACAGAGTTAAACTCAGTAAAACGCTTCATTTCGTAATAAAAATTTTAATTTATGACCCTTACTGTTTAAAGTAATGAAGAGAAAACATACTGTTCATGGTATATTATACTGACAATAAACAGGTGGATGAAATGATTCGAAAATTATTACTTGGGACGCAGTAGTACTTGCCGTTTTATTTTTGTCCCCGTGTAATTTATATTAACACCTTTCGAAAAGTCAGTATGTTTTAATTCCAAGAAAATACCGATCCGATATCGTCCCCGGATGATGAAGAGTTGTTACAACCGAACGACTGCATTATCATTCTTGGACGTTCCTTAAAACAAATAAAATTATTATTGCATTTATAATTAAAGACCAATTAGGCCAATTGCCACAGTTGTAAACAGCTATCGTAGGTAATCCACCCTGATTAGTCTTAAAAGGATTTTGCTTATTTTCTATGGTCGTACGATTTTTAGTTATACAGATAATTTTAGAGAATCACGATTGAACTTAAATGATAATTAGAGAAAAGTGGGGGGAAATATTACTTATTCAAGGCTAGAATTAAGAAAAAGGATTAAGGTTATTAGTGGATATATTTACTTGAGAAGCATGAAAAGTGCGCGCGTAAGACAGAGTGAGTAGAAAAGGACAAGTAGATACAGAAATTAGGATTTTTCAATCGAGTGAGTCACGGATAGATAGTAATACAATAATCTAGATGGATGTTTAATTATTGTTAACTGTTTAATTATTGTCATCTTATTCTTAATTATATAATTACTCAATTAATCTTACAAAATGTTTTCGAAATGAAAAATTTGTGTCACAGGCGGGGATTCGAACCCACGACTTTCGGTTAAATACACCGCTGCTCTACCGAAATAGTTTGTGGCACGGGCGATCGAAGTCACGGTATTTAAAATTCTGTATAATTAATTGAATAGATGGATGTGTAAATAAGAAGAATAGGAAGAAAACGGTTGAGAGAAATTTAGAGAAAATAAAACGTTAGACAGAGATAGTGAGATAGACATATATAGACTTGGGTAGGTACATGCGAACACAACCGGACTAACAAATAGAAACCATAGAAAGTAACTCACAACTCAAACAAAAACTCATACAGGAGACAGGCACAAAAGTAGAGAAAATTAAATTTAAGATAAATAGAGTATAAGTAAGATAAAGTGTATAGATTTGTGTGTGTGTTTGTGTTTGAAAGAGAGAGAGAGAGAGAGAAAAAAAAAGAGAGAGGAGAAAGGCAAATGTACAAATGAGTATGTTGTTAAGCCAATTTAGCAAATACGTTGATAGAAACAGAAAGAGATAGGAAAAAAGAGAAAGAAAGAAGGGTAGAATGGCCGACATAATTAGATAGGGATAAAAGGAAAGAGTGAGGATATAATGAGGATATAGTGAGGATATATAACCATCCCTAAACATATGTAAAGTATAGTGAAATAACTAGATTGACTAATACAGTAAATGTACATGGAGTTAAATATACGGGAAAATAAAAAGAAAGAGAGAGAGAGGATAGAGGAGAAAGGCAAATATACAAATGAGTATATTGTTTAAGCCAATTTAGCCAATACGTTGATAAATAGAGAGATAGGAAAACAGAGAAAAAAGAGAGTTAGAAAGTTAGATAGAGATGAACGGAAAGAGAGAGGGAGAGAGAGATGTAGAGAGGATATACAAATATATGTAAAGTAAAGTGAAGTAGCTAGATTGAGTAATGTAGTAAATGTACATGAATGGTTAAATATACTGGGTGATAAAGAAAGAAAGAGGGAGAGAGAGTAGAGTAGAGATTAAGATATCAACATAGAGATAAATATAGAGGTACAACCAAAACAACGTACCAATGTTAAAAGAAATAACTAAACATCCAGGAATAAATTATAAAACAAACAAAAAATAATAAAAAGTCAAATTATGTAAATTAAGGAGAAATGTTAGAGACAGAGATAGATAGGTAAAGGGGTTGTTAGAGAGAAAGAGCCAGAGAGAGAGAGAGAGAGAGAGAGAGAAAGAGTGAGAGAGAGAAGGAGCTAAAGAGAGTGAGAGATAGAGAAAGAGTGAGTCAGTGAGAAAGAGAGAGAGAGAGAGAGAAAGAGTGAGAGAGAGAAGGAGCTAAAGAGAGTGAGAGATAGAGAAAGAGTGAGTCAGTGAGAAAGAGAGAGAGAGAGAGAGAAAGAGTGAGAGAGAGAAGGAGCTAAAGAGAGTGAGAGATAGAGAAAGAGTGAGTCAGTGAGAAAGAGAGAGAGAGAGTAAAAGAGAGAAAGAGATAATATATCAACACAGCAGAGATAAATATAGAGGTAAAACCAAAAAAAGTTTCAGGAATAAATTATAAAACAAACAAAAAAATAATGAATAGTAAAATTATGTAAATTAAGGAGATATGTTAGAGAGACAGAGAGATTGACAGAGATAAAGAGAGCGAGAGTTAGAGAGAGATAGTAAAAGAGAAAAAGAGAGAAGAGATAAATATATATGGAAATTATGGAGATTTGTCGATGAGATTGTTAGAGATAGATATATATTGATAGATAGATAGATAGATAGAGAGAGAGAGAGAGAGAGAAAAAGAAATAAATAGATCGGAAGAGAAAGAAACAGCAACAGGAGTTAGAAATGAGGAAAAGAGAAATAAAGGGATGGAGGGTGATCAAGAATGACAGAGAGGGGGATAGAAACAGAAAGAGGTAGAGGCAGAGGTATAGAGAGAAAAAAAAGATTAAGTGGCAAAAAGAAATAGATAGGGAAAGTGTGTTTGTCTGAATATTGGAAGAGAAACGAATTCTGCTAGGTAGATAGAAATACATATACAAAGATAGCTCATAGGCACATCTCTGCGGGCGCAAGTCAAATAAGCCATAGTGATTATAGCTCAAACCATCGTTTGACATAATAAGGAGCATAACCGTTTTTAACAATAGTTTTTCCAGACGGGGAGTAAACTGATGGACCCAACTGAAACCCCGTAAAAATAAATGTGATATCTAATTGTTAATTCATACTTACTAATGGCTCTTGTTTTGGCTTGCATTGGAAGCCTTCATTTATCAAATAGGTGTTGAGTTTGACAGCGTTCAGGCATTCGACACCTTCGATCTTTCGGTTCGAAGACCACATCTTGAAGACCGGCAGGCGCGAGGGGTTCTCTACGTCAACGGTAAGATTGGGAAATCTTAAATATCAAGGAAATTAATGCGATTTTATATTTTAAAAGAAAATGTCCAAGTCTTACTCTATGTGATCCCGTTCGTCGTACCAGACTTTGATGAAAGCGCAGTTGCAAGGAAAAGATACTCCGTCGAAATAGTCTTGAATTGTGGAAAGGGCTGCAAAAACAAAGATTTTGTTATATTTTGTTATTTTAATGAATTATTTAAAAATAAATGTATAAATGCACGACATGTCAAACTTTTACAAATTACATACTGACATATAACAATTTTTTAAATAACAATAATTCTACAATAGCCTGATATTTTTGTTTGGTATATTTATTCTAAGGGGGGGTTCTAGTGCTTTCCCTCTCTCTCCCTCCCTCTCTCTCTCTCTCTCTCTCTCTCTCTATTTATNTTTCTATCTATCTATCTATCTATATCTATCTCTAGCTATTTATCTAGATCTGTATAGTTATATTTATCTATTTATTTATCTATCTGTCTATCTACCTGTCTCTCTTTCTACGTATTCATCCATTTATCTACCCGTCATTCTAATGTTTTCTCTCTCTCTCTCTCTCTCTCTCTCTCTCTCTCTCTCTCTTTCTTTCTCTTTCTCTTTCTTTTTCTCTTTCTTCTTTTCTTTCTTTCTTATACATTAAATATCACCTATCAAGCTTGGATCGCTTTAGATTTTTAAAGATAACATCAGGTCTTGGTAAGCATATTAGTAAAATAAATATTTTTTTTCTCGTTAAAATCAATGCGTATTAATATAAAGTGGATTCTGGTATAAATAACTGCTGTATAACGATCAAATATATTCAAAGATGTAGGGAACGTGCCTCGACATAATTGATATTCCCCTGCAATATCAAAAATCAGTGATAAGGCCAATCTAAAAGAAAATGATACACTCAGTGCCTAGCTTTGATGGAATTAACAACACATTATTCCACTATAGAATGGACAGGTGGTAGAACAGGTCCACTGCAAGCTCAACTCATGAATTCTTCATGCGTAGAACCGTAAATCCTAACCATAACTTCTAACCTGAACGAAGGAAATCAAATTGGCATTGTCCTTGAATTTGCCTCCGTATCAATTTATTAATTAGACACTCGCTTTTTAGACAATAAAGTTTCGAATCGTTACAGACAAGATTTCTGTATTGGAGAAATAAAAATTAAACTTACCATCTTTGCAATTGTTGTAAATATTCCCACGTGAGTTTTGCTCTTGTGCAGTGTAAAAGATGAAAATTTTTTTCACACTCTTGCTTATGCTAGTCACCATTTTAAGGCATTCGGCGTAGGCCAATGGTCCAAAAGTATATAACGTCATATTAACTGTTTGGTTAAACGTGAATAAAGATCTACTAAAATCGTATATAACATCAAAACGAAACCATATGTTTCAGAAGAAAACTGCTGTAGTTGTTTTTCATATTTTTTATTGTATTTAATGTACTTATCTAGAGAAAAAACAGTATTTTATCTATAGTTTGTCTAAAACACGCTTTATTCACAACTTATAACTTAGTAGGTTATTTTCTTTGTTCATTAATTTCATATTTATGTGTCAAAGCATCGTCGGAAGAGTCGATACGACAATTCAAATATTCTCATTCTTCTCTAATGGAACGCATCAATCGTTCACACCGATGCTGTAGTCTGACATTAGAAATTTTTGAAGACTCGAAAACGAAGCCGAACTTTCTGTATCGCTGCGAACTGAAGCGTCGTACGAGGGAAATCGATAGTGAAGGAACTTATTTGTCTCTTCGGGGGAAGCCGACTTCTTACTGGCCCCTGATTGTTTCGATTTTCTTTTGCCAATCACTCTTTCTGTTAATTTCTGAAACAGAAGGCATATTGGAAAAAAAAGAAAGAAAAAAGATCGACGAACAACATACAGGCTTAAATTCCATCCCGCATTTACGCATATAAGCCCGGAGGAAAACGAAAGACGAACAAGAGTATCCTGAAAGCTTCTGCGGCGAATCCCACAATTTGAACACCGGCAGGTCGAACTCTGATTCAACATCGTTGTCCTTTGAGGGAAAGCTGAACAATAAGTTTTTTAAAATGAAAATACAGTAGCAGGATGAAATAATATTGGATTACTTAACAATAAGGAAAACAAGTGTAAAGTTATGGCAAGAAAAGTTGATTTACTCACATTTCATTTTCATCGAACCATATTTTTATGACAGCAATGTTGTGAGTAATTACTGCATTATCAAAATAAACTTGAATTTCTTTCCAAGCTAGGGGAAAAAATATACATTTTTTTTTTAAGTCAGTACCTTCATTTTCAAACAATTTTCGATTAACCCTTTATGGCCCAATGTTGTCTTAGAACAATACGAACCTTAGCAATTTTGTAAGAAAGGTAAATGAAAAATTCAGAGGAAATATTATGAAGGTAAGTGAAAGGGAGTTTAGATTGACGCCAAATAAATCAGTGTTACCAATACACAGACAGGAACAACACCGCTCCAGCCCTAACTCACGGATTTCCTCCGAATATTAAACAAAAGTGCAAAAATTGGCATTGCTCTGAAGCAAATTTGGATAAAAAAGGTTAAATTGTAAACTGGTTATGAAAAATTTTGTTTAGCTAATATAAAAGATGCAGTGGTGTAGTGAACAGCCATGTTGGAAATAAAATATTCCAAGATGGAGATTTTAGATTGGCGCCAAAAAAATCAGTGTTTCCCATATAAAAACACTGCACCGGCATTGAAATTATTGGATGAGTTAAGCTTTAGCAAATTTCCTAAACGGCAACGTTGGGCAAGTCGGGTTCAAGCTGCTTACATAAAATCTTAAGTAATACATTTGAAAAAAAAAAAAACAATCAGTACATAGTGGAATGTATTCAAATTGTTACGTAAAAAAATTAAATTATAGCATTTCTCACAAATTGCCTACCCTCTTTACACGCAATGTAAGCCTTTGTCTTCGATTTAGTTCGGTAGATGGTGTAAAACAGAAATACCTTTTTTACAGATCTGCTCACGCTGTAAATCAATCTGAAACAATCCGGATACAAGATTGGTCCTAACACGAAAAGTGACATTTCTTATTTAAACAGCTATATACAAAGGAACTATGCAATACTTATATTAAAAATTTGAACGCTAGAAAAGCATGTGACGACAAACTTATTCAGTTTTTTTTAAATAATTTTAATAAATATATTCGACATGGGCTTGTAAATACTACAAGCCGAAAAATAGCCTATAATTTTCTCGGCTTGAAATTTATTCGCATCGTAACGCCTTATCTATTTTTTACAGCAGAAACGTTTCACATTGTAAAACGCTAGCACTAAATACATACCACGTTCTGCCTTATAACAGAAACAATTTATTAGACAATTTCAAATTCATTCGACTATACAAGAAGCACATCGCGTAGTAGAGGTCATTTCCACCTCCCTTGAGTTAAAGCAATATTGCCCTGGTGTGTTCTTACATACACCAAGCTTTTGACCGGGCATGGCTCTCGACTATTGTGGAAGCTCGAGACATGCACCATTGGTATCCTAAGGTCGTTGCTTCCAAGTATCTCACCTTCATTCCATCCTATTTTCGCAGGTGTCCCACAGGGCAGCGTCCTCGCTCCTCTGCTTTACCAATTTACTCCGACCTACCTAACTACCGAACAGTATTACCCTTACCTTTGTCGATGATACCTCAATCCTTTATCCTAATGAAGAGCCTACAGCTTCAATTTGCAAAATTACTTGCATCCTCGAATCCTGGCTCCTGCAGTGGAGAATTAGTTAACAAAACAAAATCCATATACAAAACAAAAAAAATTAACCAGTATACCTCAACGTTCCCGCTGTTGAAAACCATGGACGATACCTCGGACCCAACCTGGGCAAACGACTGACGTGGAACTCCAAAACACGTCTAAAGAGCGCAGAGAGTAACATACGACGTATATGTTAAAACGACAATCCTTTAGCAATCTTTTTCCCTATTAAAGATCCTGTCGGCTTCTAGTTATCTCCAAAATCACTTGCATATCTTCCTGAATCGAACTCTACTTTGATGAACGACTGACTTGGAACCCTCAAGAGTGTACGGTTGATACATATTCACACTGACAAATAAAACTTCATTTTCATGCTGGCCCTTATTTGGACATGAGGGCTTGAACTTTACGGGACTGCTAGGCGTTTTAACTTTAATCGAGTCCCCAATCCCTCTAATTTAAAATCCGCAGAACAATAATTAATGCCTTTTTCTGTGTTTCCAGCCACACCATCTGTACGGACGGAAATGTTCCTCTTGATACTCATCTAGCCCATCCCACTACAACAACAAAAAACCTTCATCCACAACCTTACTTAATGATCATCAAAGAAGACTGAAGCGTCGGTGGCTCTCACTTGATGTCGATCTTCTAGGATGGAGTCCATCTCGCTCATCATGTCGATGTAATAACGTCTTCCATCACCGGACAGATGCTGTTCATGTTTTTACGTTATTGTTTATATGTACAAATATATACTGCCAATAATTTCAAACAGGACTATTTGTTCTTCAATATTCTAATAAAAAATTGTTAACTAATTGTAAGTCAACAAAATAAGAAAGCGTTGTGTTCGGTTTAAGGTCACAGTGGTGTAAAAAGATCCTCTTGACATATTAGCCAAACAAGCAACACTGATATTTCCAATGTACGAAGCATCCGAAAATTGACGCGCTCACGTCGTTTAACAAGCAACGGCTTACAAGATGGCTTCGAAGTTAAGAAAGTTTTGAAATGAGGATTATGTCTTTATCTGGACGGTTATAAAGTAAAGAAAATGCGTTTAATTTACAGAGGTGTGTAATTCCATCAAGCCTGAAAGGGAAGCGGGCCTTATTTATTGGTAAGCAATTCATCATTGCCAATTACAAGTGTTCAAGACAAATAGGACTCAATGTAAACAATAAAGATATATCGATGTATCAAGTTCACCCTGGAATAAGTGAAAGTTATATTTTACGATCTTTTTTTATATCATCGGAGCGAATACGACGAACTTGAACGATATCTAGTATTACACGTGCTCTCGCAATTTGCTACTCGGAACTTCGATGAGCTTAGTTTTGACATATAAACCCAGCAAGTTATGAAGTTATTTGGAGGAAACAATTTGCAGTAATTCTCAACCTGTTTACATGTATCAACTTTAAAAAAAGACCCATTATATTTAGAGGTCTGATTGACCAAATGACTTCTTTCAATTAATTAATCTTTTTATGTAAGATTTTGGTTGAAATGAAAAATTGCAAAAGGAGGGAAAATTCGAAAGGTTGTAGGTTGAGATGGGGAGTTGGTGTCCGAGTGGATTGAAGTTGCGATAGCTCAAGTGGTTACAGCAGCTGCGTATTGAGCCGAAGGTCGTGAGTTCGAATCTCGTGACACTAGTTACACCCTTCGAGGGGGGAGGGACAATGTGCACTCAACCGTGTGCCGCGCGTAAAGGGATACCCAAAAGGGGTCGAAATATCGACCAAATCTCTCCCACGCACGCCCTAGATAGAAAAGACAACTCTATCGCCCGGAGTGTAGGGTCTCCGCTTGCATCGAAACCTTCTGATCGGCTCTGGCCGCGGTTTCGATTTAAGAAATCTTTAACCCCCTAGAGGAGATCATGCCTTCAGTAAAGGAAAGCCAGACGGGTACGACCAAAAAACATCCACCCCCGTCCACCATTCTTCACACATTCGAGGGACTCCCTCAGCCTAGTCTTAGCCTCTTCGTAGGCTGTACGCTTCGGCAGTCAGGTTGCCGTTTGCGTTTTTTTTGTTTTTTTTACAACGGATACAAGAAACGGGAGGAGTTCCCCTGAGCACTATACAGCTTATTGTTCTTTATCCTGTGTCGGTGTTCTTCCAGCGAAGAAACTCATTTTTGAAGGGGGTTGGGACAAAATTCAGGGTCGCTGAGATCAGGTCCCACCCCTTCCATTGCGCCGTTTCAATTTCTGTTCAATTGCGGCCACCGGTCTCCTTAGGCGTCAGAAGAAAAGTCCAGAAGCGACGGCGGGGATCGAACCCACGACCGCGAGATCTGCGGAGAGTGCCTGACGCCTTAACCACTCGGCTACCACGGCCCCTAAGGTCGGAGGTTTATATATTTCGCAGGGTAGGCGACCAAGACCCGAGGGGTTACATGCCTGGGTAGACTCGTTCCCCATTAGGTCGGAGGTTACTCTGGTCCACAGCCACGGATGAAACATCACCTCTTCTCTAGGTACCCACTAGAGGTCTCGCTACTGACCCACCTTTGAACTTGAAACAAATCTTCGCTGCCCCGCAGTTCAGATAGTTATGCACCCTCCCCCGTCCGTAAGAAAAAGGTGCAGCGAATGGCTAGAAGAGTACACATATTGGAATGCTGTTATGTTTCCTGATGAGTCGCGTTTCTGTCTGTATAGTGATAGCATGCGCCGAAGAGTCAACCAAAAATAGGAGTTGCGTACAATGCCACATTTCCTGCTCCCTCCAGTGCAATTTGGAGGAGAGTAATAGGCTGGGATGAAATTTACACGAGAAGACGAACTGTACTCCATATTGTTGAAGGAAAGCTTACCGCAGTCCGTTATGTCCAAGAAATTATCGACAATATATCCCTGAAACTAGGGATCTCATTGGCAGGGATTTTCGATTTCTGGATGGCAAGACCTCATAAGAGGCAGAGTTGTTCATCAATATTTTAAAAACCTGGGACGTTCCCTCTGCTCCGTCCCCCATTTTCTCTAAACTTCAATCGCATTGACCACATGTGGCTTTGCGATCACCAACCGCAGCCAGTTGACCTGCAACAGCTAAGTGCAGCGTTGTAACATCTATGAAGTGAAATTCCTTATGAAATTATTAACAATTAAAAGTATGCCTAATAGGTGCACAGAGGTTTTAGCTAACAGAGGACATTATGCAAGGTATTAATTGTTTTTAAAAAATTATTGTGTACAAGAAACAAAATTATGGAATTAAAACCTTTTATTTTCTATAGTTCTAATCTATCTTCTATCGTTCTATTCTAATAATTTCTAATAAATTTTAATGCAATTTATAATAAAAAATTTTAAAAAATCTAGAGAAAGTAAATACTTCAAAATTAGCAATATCCTTAGTTCATTTTAGATGATATTCATGAATATCGTACGCAAAATTAGCTATAGTCAAGTAAGTTTGCCTGCTCTTTTTACGAATTAAAGTTTGAATTTCTTCCCTTTCTTCTTTCTAGATTTTATTTTATCCCATTTTTCTTAAAGCTAAGACTTCCAAAGCTCAGGTATAGGAGGACTCTTGTGAAATTTTACCGTATTGTCATGGAAAAATTCAGCAGCGAGATATTCATGAAGGTGCTCAAGCGGCTCAACGCCGAGGAAAAGGCTCGCCCAAATGACATTGTGAGCATTTCCGCCGGCTAGATATATTTCCACAATTCTTTTTCGGTTTTAAATCTACACCGTCCGTTCCTCTTGTATCTCTTTATTGAGCGCACCTCGAAAGGGGAGATGGTAACAAAGATGACCGACACGGGCAGAGGTTATTCACACAGATTCAACATTTAAATTTCAAGGAGTGGAACGGTATATTTCCGGACGACAACTGCATAAAATAAAGTCTCGTTTTACGTAATTGAAGGTATGCTTTGTCTTTGATACAAACTATCTGGGTCGCTTTTTTTTTTGTTACAAAGTGAATATCTTCAGAATTTTTCTCAACAGAAAGTTAATAAAATTCTTGTATATAACCAGTACAAACATGGTTTTCAATATAAAATGTTTGTCCCAATTGAATTAATTAATTATAATCTACTATCACGTAGTTCTAATAATTCTAGTTATAAAAATTTAAAATAATTTTAAAACGATACATTTTCTACGCTCAAAAACCATCCTTTTTAAAAGCATACCAGGTTATATCATACATAATTCAGAGATATATAATAATTCCTTTTACTCGTAAATTCGATTGTGGAATGTAGAAAGGGAAGAATTAAATCTAGGGAGATGAGGATTATTATTGGCGTAATTCTGTCAAGAGGATTTTTATTTTACTGGAATTTCACCTAGAAGGGTTGTCATCCACGAATTGCTGATGCTCGATTTTTAAAAGGGCGTACACAAAAGTTTCTCAAATTACAACCTGGAATTA